TCTGGCAGCTCAGTTTACTGATTTTTAAAGTTCTTGTTCCCCAAGGAAGAGAAGAAAAAGACTATACCTTTTTCAGTATCCATATATCAAATCCGATGGAGAGACTATGACCCGTCCTGACTGGATCAGCTTCTTCACCCTTGGCCCATCACTGTGGACTCAGTGAGTGAGGACCTCCTGTGGGGTCAGGCCTGGCACATCCACAGGAAGGCGAGCACTTTGGTAGCCTCGCTGAACCCCAAAGATAGAGATGGGCAGCTAGCAGCATCCATTCTCTGCAGTCATCTTGCAAAAGATGGAGAGGAACAACCAGGATAGGAACATCATGAGATGAAAGTATCTGCCAGGTTATGAGATGAAAAACAGCTGTCCAATTTTACTTGGTTTCATTTTGTTATTTCATTAGTAGTCAGGTTTTCTTGAGGTTTTTTTTCACATTTTTATTAGGCTTTTGCATTTCTTCCATGATTTGTCTTTTCATGTGCTCTGCTCTTCTTCTGTTACGATTTTAGTTGTTCCTATTCATACAGGCTCTCAGTGTGTATTAGGGCTTCCATTTTTTTTCTTTGTTGTTTGAAAAGCAATTCTAAGAGTTACACATAAAGTTTTACAGTATGCTTAACTGATTCTGTACCTGTCTATATTTTTCTTTTTTTTTTAAAGTTGTATTTATTTATTTATTTGAGAGAAAGAGAGAGAGTGGGGGGGGAGGATAGAGGACAAGGGAGAGAAAATTCCAAGCAGACTCCATGCTGAGCAGAGTCCAATGAAGGGCTCGATCCCAGGACCCTGAGATCATTACCTGAGCCAAAACCAAGAGTTGGATGCTTAACTGACTACGTCACCCAGGTGCCCCTATGTTTTTCTTGATTTGTGAAATCTTATAGATGTTCTTCTGGAATTTTAATTGAAAGAGATAACAGTGAAATTTTTTTTATTCAGATATAAGTCATCAGCTTAAACATAATAATTTGTAGTAGTCTCCCTTTGGAAAAAATCCAGATTGAAACATGGAGTATATATTTTTTGTGAGAATTCATTCTTTATCTATTTTTGGAAGACAGTATTTTCCAAAAATGAAATAAAGATTTGGGACATTTAGGTCTGTCTTTTTTACAGATGAAAGAAGAGTGATCACTTTGAATTTGAATATATAACAATTTCAGTGTCCTCTCCACCTTTTCTTTATTGTGAAGAGCTATTAGGCTCTTAGTGAATAAGGTAAATTAAGGCCTCAGATGTTCAGTCAGTCTTTGGATTATGTAGTTCAGGAGGGATTATGCCACTTGATAATAGCAAGTCTACAGCCTTGATAGTTCATAACTGTGTTCTGTGTCCATTACTTAACATCTTAATGTAGTGTGTGACATGCCTCAGAGATGATCAGTTGTTTTCATCTGACAGAATATTTAAGTTTGATTATTAAAAATATAGAAATTTGTCGAAAATCTGACAGCCCCCTGGTTTTCTCTTTGGACATCTTAATAGCGCACATTTTCTTACAGTGGAAAATGAGATAAGCCTGAATCATTCTTGTTTGCACATAGTCTACGCATTGGTGATCATGAAAGCATAGATTAAAGTTAGGGCTTTAAAATTCCAATTAATCATCACAACAACAATGGTATTTTTAAAATAATGGAGGGTGCCTGGATGGCTCAGTGGGTTAAGCCTCTGCCTTCGGCTCAGGTCATGATCTCAGGGTCCTGGGATCGAGCCCTGCATCGGGCTCCCTGCTCAGCGGGGAGTCCCCCCCCAACCCCCACCTGTCTGCCTAATTGTGATCTCTCTCTCTGTCAAATAAATAAATAAATAAAATCTTAAAAAAAAAAATAAAACAATAGAAAGTTCTCACATTTTTACAGCAAATGAAGAATTCGATTTATTAAAATACAATTTATAAATGTGAGGTAATGTAATTCTTTGTATTTTAGTAGTATAGCTAGCTTTTTCTCATCTCTCTTTAACGTAGTAATACATATATTTATTCTAAAGAGTGCAACAGGACTGAAGTGTGTGAGCACAGGGTGCTAGGCTCCCGCCCAGGCCTCTCCATTCACCCTTGCTCCCTGGAGCAGGTAGGTGTCTGTCCCAGCCCTTTTTGCACACATATGCTTAAAGCAGAGATTATTCCAACCCAGTGTAATACAGAAACTTCCTCCAAAATATAGCAAGTCAAAAGAGATTGAATGCATACCTCTAGGAAGTCCAGAGTCACAAGAAAAAATTGTCTTTGAAATTTCGTTTAATACTTAATCCATGAACATTGTGAATTTCACTCTGTGATATTTAATTTTAATAAATAAATGTAGAAATGTTTTAAATTACTTTGCAAGGCCTAAAATTGTCTTGAAAGATTTCTCCCACGGCATTTCCTAGGCACTCTTTGACACACGTATTGCCCACCACTGTTGAGAATGTTTTCTTTCCTGCTGTTAATGCTCTCAGTACTACATATGCCACGTAATTCCTAAAGAATACAGATTTTCCCATTCATAACCGTGCATCTGAGTCCATAACAGATTGGTGTCCCAAGCAGACCCCCAGAGGACCCAACTTACTTCATACACATGAACTTACTTCATACATCATTTGAAAAGGTTGATTAATTTGTGGTAATTTACATCATAATGAGTTTTAAAGACTATTTAAAGACTATTTTTAAAGACTATTATAATCTTTTTTTTAAGATTTTATTTATTTATTTGTCACAGAAAGATATCACAAGTAAGCAGAGAGGCAGGCCGGGGGGAGGGGGTGGGACGGAGGCAACGGGGCCGGAAGCAGGCTCCCTGCTGAGCTGAGAGTCCCATGCAGGGCTTGATCCCAGGACCCTGGGATCGTGACCTAAGCCGAAGGCAGAGGCTTAACCCACTGAGCCACCCAGGTGCCCCAAGAATATTATAATCTTTAGTAAAATTAAATTTTTATCCTTATTCAGTTGATGTAAAATTAGTTCTCTTCTTTTAAAAAAAAGAATAATTTCATGCTCACTAACAGGATATTTAGTTGTCATGTACTTGATTCATAGAGAAATTAGTAAACTTGATTCATAGAGAATTTTAAAAAATGTTTTCTGGTGCTAAAATATAAAGAGCTGCTTTTAAAGGCTCTGTAAAAACATAAAAACGTAAAATAAGCTCAAGATAGTTAGAATTTGTAGATTTTAGCTGTAAATGTTAGAGTTTATATCATTATTAGTTATCTTGATGAAAATGCTACCCATTAAAATGATAGAGCATTCTTAGAATTTGGACAAAATTAAAATAGTTTGATCATTTAAATCAAGAAATCAAAGTCTGTGTCACCATTCTAGTATATTCTTTATAAAAGGTGTTATGATTTTCTGAGACTTAAGGCATTTGATTTTAGGGAATAGAGTTCCGGCATTCTATTAAATTACACTCTCCTGGCCTAGAATGTTGGAATTTAAACCATTGATGTTTGTATAAGAGTAAGAATTTCGAACAGAGCTATTACTCACCAGTTTGGAAAACAAATATAGTTTATACTTCTGGATTAAAAATTCTGGCATCAGACTCTCTGGGTCCACATTCCGTCCCTGTGGATCAGTAACTTTACATGAGTTACTTAACCTGTCTGTTTTGGCTTCTTCGTCGTAAAATAGTACTTACTTCATAGGGTTTCATAAGAATTAAATGAAAATATATTTAAAGTATTTAGAATGGTGCCAATACCTACCAAGCTCTGTGCGTATGTTAGCTGTTGTTATTAATGTGTCCGGGCATATAGCATTTCTGCTCCTGACAGATAGTATCAGGCTTTTGAGAAGCTTGAAATTCATAACATCTAAAACATCTCTATTTCTACAGGGGCACCAGGGCATCTGCTCAAGGGGGCAAGTGGGGATTTCTCCTCTGGGCGAGGGCCGACATTTGCTTGGGAAGAGGACGGCTATTCCTGATTAGCACAAAAGTGCCAAACAGACAACCTGTGGCTATCTCAGTCCATTCAGGTCTCTGAATACCACAGACCGGGCAGCTTAAACAAGAGCCATTTATTTCCCCCAGTTCCAGACGCTGAAGGTCCAGCATCCAGAGGCCAGCAGACTTGGTGTCTGATGAGATCCTGATTCTTGGTTCATAGAAGTTGTGTCCTCATATGGAGGAAGGGTCAAGGGATCACACTCTCTCAGGCTACTTTTTGAAGGGCACTGTAATACCATTCATGAGAGTGCCACTGTCCTGACCTTATCAGTCCCCAAAACCCCACCTTCAGATTCCATCACATTAGGGATTCAGTTTGAAGATGAGTTTTGGGGGGAACACAAACATTTAATCTATAGCAGCGGTCTTGATAATGTGTAACTTTTTCTGGAAGCCATAAACTGTCCTTTCTCATTTTTCCATAAAAATTGAAGGCACACTTGTGTGTTTGTGCACAGGAAGGTTTTAGGACTTGATACTCTGAAAGGTAAGCCTCAGCCAGGTCACCTTGCTTAGCTTCCTGAAATGAAGATATTTAAAATTAGGAGAGTAATTCTTTTAGGGTGGTACATGATTACTGTTCTGCTTTCATAGGTTCAGGTTCTAAATACCTATAACTTTGGTATCTTGATTATCTGTTAATGAAGTTATTAATTGTTGGTAGAAGCAGTAACTTATTTCTTAGACCACATTCTCAGAATTATTTGGAATTACTAGACTAATAACTATATAAGATTTTTAACAGACAAGTGTTTTCTTTATTGGTACTGTAGTGTCTAAGTGTTAAAATCTGTATCTTTTTAAAAAAAATAATGTGTATTGCTTATTAATAATTAGGTCATTTAGCATTCTGGGTTTTTTTTCTTTTTCTTTTTCTTTTTCTCTTTTTCTTTTTTCTTTTCTTCTTCTTCTTCTTCTTCTTTTTTTTTTTTTAAGTAAGCTCTAAGCCGAGTGGGGGGCTTGAACTCATGACCCTGAGATCAAGAGTCACATGCTCCACTGACTGAACTGGCCAGGCATCCCACCAATATTTATTTTCATTTTATTTTCTAGATGAACCAACGAGCCCCAGCATTGATCATGACCTTGCACACATCCCCGCTTCTGCTGTCATCTCAGCCTCCACCCCGCAGGCACCCCAGGCACCCCCCATAGCAATGGTCCCACCCAGCCTCACCACGTCGGCTCCTTTAATTCGCCGCCAGCTCTCCCATGACCAGGGTACGTTTCAGTGAGTGGCTGTGCAAACCATCTCTCTTTCTCACTTTTCCACGCTATGACAAACTGTGGTCTCCTCATTACGAAAAGGATCTGGAAACCACCTGTAGATGTCTAAATGTTGGCTTTTGATTACAGAATCTGTCGGACCTCCCAGCCTGGATGCCCAGCCCAGCTCAAAGACCGAAAGATCAAAATCCTATGATGAGGGCCTGGATGATTACAGAGAAGATGCAAAATTGTAAGTCTTAAGCATATCATTTTAAATATTTATTTGTGGGTGTTCAGCATGACTTTGACATGACTTTGACATTTGTGGGTGTTCAGCATGACTTTGACATGACTTTGACATATAATCACTGAATTTTAATGATTTCTTTTATACTTTTAACTTTATAACATTAGAAATGCAAATAAAAAATAAAATAGTTATTCCATAATATATCCAGTTGAATTTTTAAAATTAGCATTTGAAAATCAGTAATACACAAACATAATGCCAAAAATATTAGGCTACTGTAGCCTCTGGCTACCCAGATCTCTTCTCGGACACCATTATGTGTTACTGTTTTCTGAGCTGTTCTCTGCATAAAATCACATACAGACATTTACACAGGCTTATATGTGTGTGTACATATTCTAATTATTTTTGTAAACAAATGATAGATGCCATGCACACTGATCATGGCGATTATTCAGTGTGTCTATTCCTGGCGCAGCTTTCTCGTGCTTGTTTCATTCTCCACCGAATAGTTTTACCAAAATATATTTAACGATCATTCTATATTTTATAAATAGGCATTTAGACTGATTGAATCTTATGCTACTGCAAACAATACTTCAGTGACTCTATTCATTTAGTATATAAGTGAGTATGGTTGGAAGAAAGATTGTTACATCAAGGGGGTGTGTATTTTTTATATTAATAAACATTGTCAGCTGCTCTCCATAAAGCTTATACCAAATCACATTCCCACCGACAGTTCCCAGAAGTCTCTGCCCCCCATCAGCCCAGCGTGCTATTTAACATTTGATTTTTTGTAAATCCAGTGGTATCACATTGTAGGGTTTTTTTCTTTTTGGAAAATTTCTTATTAGTGGAATATCATTTCATATGTATTTAAGAGATATTTATATTTATATTTATATTTTCCTGTGAGCTGCTTATTCATATCTTTCACCCATCTCTGGGCTCTTTTATTAAAGGAGACTAGCTCTTTTCTGAGATGAGTGTTGAAAGTCTTTTCCCAATTAAGTATTTTTCATTGGATTTTTTTTTTTAAGATTTTATTTATTTATTTGAGAGAGTGAGTACACAGGCATGAGTAGGGAGAGAGGCAAAGGGAAAGGGAGAAGCTGACTCCCTACTGAGCAGGGAGACCGACAAGGGGCTCCATCCCAGGACCCTGAGATCATGACCTGAGCAGAAGGTAGCCGCTGAATGGACTGAGCCACCCAGGCACTCTCCTTTGGAGTTTCTTAAGTTTTTTTTTAAACTGTACAAAAATGTTAAACTTTTTCCTTGCAGTCAAATTTAGGATATTTTTTTTTTAATGGCCTTCAGATTTTGAGTCATATTGAAAAAGCCTTTCCTCCCAAATTACAACAAACTTCTTCTATGTTTCCTCTCAGATTTATGCTTTTCTTTATCTTTGTGTGTGTGCGTATTTACAACTTTGATTCATTTGGAGTTTATTTAATTCCAATTAGTGAGATAAAGGGCCGACTTTGTGTTTTCTAATGTCTCTCAGTTGTCCCCAAAGCATCTATTGAATGTTACATTTTTCCCACTGATACTTCATCTTTACTATATACTAAATTATTAAATGTACTTAGTTTTATTTTTAGCCTCCATTCTGATCAGATGATTTATCTGTGTACTCATGTACACCAGATTCTTTTCATTGTAGTGGTTTTATAATGTCTTTACTATTGATGGGACCATTCTCTCATTACTTCCTGTTTTTTTCTAAATTCTGGCTATTTCTGTTTATTTTACTACTTGAATTTTAAAGTCAATTTTCTAGTTCTTAAATTCTTATGGATATTTTTAGCAACACAGTGTTTTAATTTATACAGTTATGGAACATTGACATTTTATGATTTTGAACGTTTCAAAGAACAATTTGTCTTTTTTATCTGTGTTTTTGTATCGATTTTCTGAAGTTCCATTTGATGATGATTTATACTCCAATAATAGCGGTTCTTCCCAGACCAGCTACACACGGGAAGTTTGTGTGGGGCGTGGCCACTGCAGTGGTCCCCACTAGCAGGAATTGTTCCAATGATGCAGAGTTGAGTTTGTGAGCTTTTTTAGCCTTTACTTCTTCCTCACTAAAAAGATGGCCATAACAGCCGCATTTCAGGGTCTGCTTCACCCTACACCAACCGCACACTGCTTCCTGCAAAGATGACAGGACTGTGTGTTTCCTCCTTCGTTCTCATACCCCCTGATATCCGCGGCAGTGAGTGAGGCTCCTGCGGCTCCGGCACCCTGTTTCCCACAGTCCCAAACAAGCGAAGCTTTTGATCTTCAGAGAGCAGTGCAGTGCAGTTTGATCTGAGATATGCCATGAGTGGTGTCCTCCCTCCCTGTATCCAGCCTTTCCTTCACCGCATTTAACCCCCCATCTTGGTGTACACGGATCCATCGCCACCCGGAGTTACAGGTGTCTCCTGATCGTGCTGGGGACGCAGTTTGCTTATCTGTTTCTGGCTGTCTGGTTTGCGGTGCTTTAAAAGGGGAGGGCAGTCATACTCTGCAATCCTAAATTCCTTAAAACGAATTTTGAATTAAAAAAATAAGTCTTGGGGCGCCTGGGTGGCTCAGTTGGTTAAGCGGCTGCCTTCAGCTGAGGTCATGATCCTGGAGTCCCAGGATCGAGTTCCGCATCAGGCTCCCTGCTCGGCAGGGAGTCTGCTTCTCCCTCTGACCCTCCTCTTGCTCTCTTTTTCTCACTCTTATTCTCTCTTTCGCAAATAAATAAATAAAATCTTAAAAAAAAAATAAGTCTTTGTCCCCTAAAGTTAAATTGTTTTGAATAGTTAACGCAAACCTATCTTCAGAAGCCCCAAGCCTTTTCAGTGGCAGCAGCTGGTCTCATACCGAAGCATCCCGAATGTGGTTGGCGGGACGAGTGGTGGGCCCGGACTGGCCCTGACGACGCTCTCCCTGCCGCATTATCCATCATTATTAACGTTGCGGAGCCCTTAATAGAGCGTTGCAACTGGGGCGCCTGGGTGACTCAGTGGCTTAAGCCTCTGCCTTCAGCTCAGGTCATGGTCTCAGGGTCCTGGGATCGAGCCCCGCATCGGGCTCTCTGCTCAGCAGGGAGCCTGCTACCCCCTCTCTCTCTGCCTGCCTCTCTGCCTACTTGTGATCTCTGTCTGTCAAGTAAATAAATAAAATCTTTAAAACAAAACAAACAAAAAATAAAAAACAGAGCATTGCCACTATGGTTAACTAATCATTTATCCTAAAGCTCAATGTTTAGCCCAAATAGTTTTTTCTTTCATTTAAAAGGAAGTATAGAATCTACCACTTCCTGCAGAGACAGTTTCGATTTACCAGATCCACTAAGGAAGCTTCGGCTGTGGAATCAGGAATTTAAGTACCGATACAGTTAGCTCATTTTCTCATTTGCATGGCACAGTGAATATTTACCACGGTAATGGTGAAATGTCAGCTTATCACTGACAGGTTACTAGTAATGTTCGAATTGTTTTTACTTCTTTAAGGTGTGTCATGTACTTACTGCAAATACTTACATGCTTCTTTCCAACAGGTCCTTCAAGCACGTCTCTAGCCTGAAAGGAATCAAGGTTGGTATTCAATATTTGTTTAAGTATCAGCAAATGATAACTATTTCTATTTACCTTAGATTATTACTTTGGCTCATCATAGGGAATTATTTCTATTACCCCATATTCTGTCAGTTTCAGGTACATTTGGAAAATATTGCCTGTTAGTGTCCTTTTCTAATTTCTAAACATACTCATCAAGTATATAATACTTTACACACATTATGCTAATTTTTCTCACTTCATCAGTCAACGGCCAAAGATCTGAGTACCCAGCAATCCTGTATATGTCATACGTGTGCGTTTCTCTCCTCAGAATTCCTCTGTCAGGCCTCGTCTCCTCCTTTCTCCATGCTGTCCGCCCCTGTCCTGCCCATCTTCTCCTCCCTCGTACTTCACTGAAAATTTCCTTCTTTTACGTTCTCCAAAAGTGTCAGCCACCTTCATTTGCGCCCGCAGTTTCTGCCCTCTTTACTCTTAGCCTAAGTATCTGTACTCGGGACATGATCCTGTGAAAAAGCTACATCACATTTCTTCTTTGATTCTATCGCTTTTCACTTTCTCAAGATCCCTCTCCCCTCTGCAAAATCGCCCTTGCCAGTGGCTCGTTCACCATCACAGAAGCACATTCCACTGTGAACTATATATTATTTAAAAACCTCCCTTAAATCTATATCCCCCTCTATTTCCTATGCCTGTTTTCTCACAGTAAAACTGAAATTTTTGAAGAAAATTTGAAAAAAATTGTCTGTCATGTCCACTTCCTCACATCACGTCTTCGTCAGCCCGCACACACCAGAACGACAGTGCTCACGCCAAGGCGACCAGAGTCGTTCAGGCTCCCAAACTAACGGTTATCTTCGATTTTTAACTTCTTTGACCTCTCAGTAGTCTCCAGCACAATTTCCCACTCCCTTCCTAAAACATTTTCTTCTGCTGGTTTAAGCGATCGTGGTTTAATGGCCAAAGAGATCCGGGTTACCCCCAGACATGATTATCTGCCAGTTTCCCCATCTCACGAAGTTTACTTTCCCCGGGTGTTCAAGCCCCAGATCTGGGCATTAGCCTTGTGGCTTCTCCCCCCACCCCCATATCAAGTATTATCCACTCGACCTTCAGGACACACCGTGAAGCTCTGCATTCCTCCCTGACTTCACTTAAGTTAACTTTGGTCCAGGCCACCATCGGGCCTCACCTGGATCCTTGCAGTAACACCTCTTCTTGGAGAAGAAGAACCCATTCTCCAGGTGGCAAGCGAGTAACCTTTGAACTGGGACCAGATAATATTACTCCTCCGACTCCTCACCTGATCACTTCCTATCACACTTCCTACCATGTCCTAAAAGACCCTGAACAATCTATTCATTAGCTGTTTCTCTCACACTGAACAGCGAGCATTTAAAATGAGAATTGGTAAGCGGCACCGGGGTGGCTCCATCGGTTAAGCATCTGACTCTGCTCAGGTCATGATCTCAGGGTCCTGGGATCTAGTCCCATGTCATGCTCCCTGCTTAGCCGGAAGTCTGCTTCTCCCTCTCCCCCTGCCCCCCGACCCTGCTCATGCTCTCTCCCTCTCAAATAAAATCTTTAAAAAAAAAATGAATAAAATAAAATAATAATGGTAAACATACTTAATCACTAACTATACATCCTCTCTGAACTTTTCTTTTTCCTGACCTTTCATGGATGGCCCCTTTTAAAATTTTTCCTCCACATTTCATCTTTTAAAAATTCTTTCTTCAGGAGGCCTTGCCATAGCAGCCCCAACTTCTAGCCACGACTCAGTCATTCATTACCGTGTCTCGCTGTTCCTCTCCCAAATGGTACTAATCGCAGTCTGATCATTTTCTTGTCTTTTTCATTCTGATTTGTCTTTTCTCACTAAAATATGAGCTCTTAAAAGCAGGAAAATTAGACTGTTTCTGTTATTTTTTAATGATTAAAAATTCCTGCAGACTTTTAAAAAATGATGGTAGTCAATTCAGTTTTTTTTTTAAATGAGACCAGAAATTTTTCTAATGTAATTGGTAATGGTAGTATTTTTTTTTTTTTCAAAAATAACCCTTCATTTGGAACATTAAAGATTTTCTTTTTAGCAAATTAATTTCAATGTGCAAATGTTGATAAGAGAGAAAGCTGGTGTTTTACTATATTTTCTTGGCCTTTTCTGTAGATGGTAGACAGCCAGAAGTCATCAGAAGACTCTGGATCCAGGAAAGATTCTTCCTCAGAGGTTTTCAGCGATGCTGCCAAGGAAGGGTGGCTCCACTTCCGACCACTTGTCACCGACAAGGGCAAGGTAGTACGTTTTCTCAGCTGCCGTGGGTATATGAAATGCAGTCACTGTAAAATAGCACATGAAGTCTGGATACACAAATGGCAAATTACCCAGAAGAGAGAAGAAAATATCACTTCTAGATAGCTTTTTCTGCATAAAGGAAGTAAAACTTTTTTAATTCTCATCGATTTAATTTTATATTTTTCATCCTGTGTATCAACTGCAAATAGAATATACAGCCCTATATTTTGCCAACAAAAAAGAGAAATCAGAGTATTTAAGAAGGAGCTCAGCTTTTCTTATTAAATAGTTTATTAGCCATAGATTTTCCCAGAGTCTTCTTTTAGGGAGTGGCAGTTCTCCATATTAATAATTTAAAATTTTTAATTTAGCTTGTCCCAGTTTTTCCTTTTAAGTTGCTTTTATAATTTGCTCCTTTCACTTTATTTTATAAATATTGGGTTATAAAAATGAGTATCAGTATTTATATGCTTCATTAAGTAGATTTCAATATAATAAAAACTTGGCCATAAAATTCCTTACAATATTTAGGCAGATAAGTTAAAAAAAAAATTTGATACTGTCAAAAGAGTCTAATTTTTAAGAAAACCCAACTTGCATATGGATATTGTTGCTGGACCATATAAAGTTGATCAGTTTTGTTAGTTTCATTCATTACTCATGCCTGTTGTTTTGGAATCTCCTTATGTAGTGTTTGTCAGTTGCATGATCTGGGGCTTGTCTTAAGCCTTACTCTCACTCAAAAATTTTTTTTTGATGGAGTTTTTTCTTATTTTCTATTCTCTTAGCATTTTTATATATTTTATATATTTTGCTACTCTTCTTTTACCTTACTTACTTTATTCAGTTTATCTTATTTACTTTGTTCATGAACAATTCAACAGTTTTTTTTTTTTCCCCAACCAGATTAAAGTTGATTTTGGTCAGGAATACCTTGCCCAGCTTGGTTTCTGCTCCAGTGTTTGTCATTCCTCTCCTAAGAAGCAGATGCGATCGCGAAGCAGACACCCGCTTTACCTGCTGGGTGTACACGTGTGTGTGTGTGTGTGTGTGTGTATGTGAGAACAGTGTTGCTTGATGTGTTTGTCCTGCCCTGAGACTGAGCCAAGCATGAAGTGTCCCCGAACTGTTCCGTGTTTTCCAGCGAGTTGGTGGAAGTATTCGGCCGTGGAAACAGATGTATGTTGTGCTTCGGGGACATTCGCTTTACTTGTACAAAGACAAAAGAGAGCAGACGACGCCATCCGAAGAAGAGCAGCCCATCAGCGTCAACGCCTGCTTAATAGACATCTCTTACAGCGAGACCAAGAGGAAGAATGTGTTTCGGCTTACCACTCCAGACTGCGAGTGCCTGTTTCAGGCCGAGGATAGAGACGACATGCTAGCGTGGATCAAGACCATCCAGGAGAGCAGCACGCTCAACGAGGAGGTGTGTGTTCCAAGTGACATAAATCAAACCAGGTTCTTTCATCACTTTTTTCTTAGGAAGACCGAAAGAATTGGATACAGTTTAAAAAATTAAAGTACGCTATTTTCCCTTGAAAAATTGATCAAAAGGAAAATTCAGGTGTACCTATTTTATATTACTTTCACTTATGTTGGGATCAGCATTACTGAACTACAAAAATAGATAATTCGTATATTTTGCTTATTTTCTCAGAAGCAGGATCAGGACTAGTCCTGGTCATTACCTTTATGACTAAATCATTCCAGATCTGGTTCCTTATCTCAAAGACAGGATTATTGTGGGGCTTACAGTGTAGTGAAGATTCTTACCAGAACAAATTACTGTGTAAATGCAAAGAGATACAGATACGAGGAATTTCATTCATGAGATACGCACTCGAGAATATAATAGAGCCTGCTGTCAGACACTTCTGGCTTCTAAGAAAACTTGCATTGTCAGAAATCATGCGAAAAGCCAATTTTTCTTTTTATTAAGGAATGTTTAGGGACTTGAGAGTTTCTGGCTCATAGCCATCGAGATATTTTTTTACAACAGGAACTTCATTGGTAATGTAGTATCTCTAGCGTATGTAATTATACATTTGACAGAGCAAATTCCGCAGTGATTAAGTCTAGCTTTTACTCGAGTATCTTTTAATATCATTAACACAGTTTTTCTTACATGTTGTTCTCACTTTTTGTGCTCATTGTTATGACAAAAAAAAAAGCGCGCAGTGTTCTCTTCCCTTAACTCACGGGACACAGGGACACCCACGTTAATTGTAAGGTTGTGCAAAATATGTTCTCTAATATAGTCGTTTCCAGTTATGTCCAATTCAAATTGTGAAAACTTAGGTCATAGGAAAAATGACTGTGCCCTTTTTCTCTGAGAGTTTACACCCCTGCCTTGTTTGTGGTTAAAAATAAACACCAGATCCGTGTCAAATCAACCTTTGTTCTCTAACCAGCACTGTAAAGAAAGCATCCGACATGCATGTTTGCACGGTAAACAGGGAAAATAAGAATGTTTTACATGAATAAGTCTCAGCAACCATATGAATGTGTCCTCTTACTGTCATCACCATTTTGCAAACAAGGACACTGGCAAAGAGAGGTTACGTAATTTCCATAAGGTCACACAGCTCTTAAGTGTCAGGGCCGGGGACTTAAACCCCGGCAATCTCAGCCTAGGTCCTAACCATCTGATCTCTCAACTGATAAGTAGGAAGAATATTTGAACTGAGATTATTTGACTCCAAAGCTTATATCTGTAAATTTTATTGTTCGTTATAATCAAAATGAAACAAGTAATAAAAAAAAAAAGTTGATGCTACATGTCAATGTATAATTGAAATCAGTAGAAAAAAGTCATCACTTCATGGTGAAATCAGAGTTTACCATACAGCATATTATAAAAACTAATCAATTGAGGTTGAAATGCCCAGTTTTGAGCTTTTTCTCTTCTGATAATATCAGTGCCTCTTCTGACACTAAATGACCCTCTGTCTCACTGCTCCTGTAAATTCATCATTAACAAATTTTGACAGTATTTTTCCGTCTTTTATCCAACTGTCTTATTTTGAAATGCTGATCAGTCCTTCTGGGATTAGAGAGAGAGGAACAAACTAAAAAAAAAAATGGGCCTGCTGCTTCCCAGTCATTTATAAAAAAATGTCACATCAGTAAGTTTGAACACCTGCTGCTTGCTGGTACTATTCTAGGGATTGTAGGAGTACAGACAATAAACAGAAAGCTCTTTTGGCAGTGGGTGGGGGGTGCTTGGATCATTTCTTGCATAGTGATATTGGATGGTGATGTGGAGCAGAGATTTTTAAACAACTCCACTGAGAGTCTAGGGGGCCAAACAGGCTAAGCAGTGTGGTACAGCAGAGCCTCAGAAGAGTAGGGATCCCGACTCATGTTTCAAATTGACTTTCTAATCTTACCTCCTGTTTATTCTATAGGACACTGGAGTGACTAACAGGGATCTAATCAGCCGAAGAATCAAAGAATATAACAGTCTGATGAGGTGAGAATCCCACGACGCCTACAACTTAATTTGGATGTAAAATGCCCTACAGTTGTTAAGAAATGTTCATTTCTTTCAGCAGCAAAGCAGAACAGTTGCCAAAAACACCTCGCCAGAGTCTGAGCATTCGGCAGACTCTGCTTGGTGCTAAGTCAGAGCCAAAGACCCAAAGTCCGCACTCTCCCAAGGAAGAGTCAGAAAGGAAACTTCTCAGTAAAGGTACTAATGGTAGTGTTCCTGCATAAATTTAACAAATACGATGGTTTAAAGTTGGGATTTTAAAGGTATTTCATGGGGCGGCTGGATGGCTCGGTTGGTTAGGCATCTGACTCAATTGTGGCTCAGTTCATGATCCCAGGGTCCTGAGATGGAATCCCGCATCGGGCCCCATGCTGAGCGTGGAGCCTGCTTAAGATGGGCTCTCTCATTCTCTGTCTGCTCTTCCCTGCCACTTCTGTCTCTGTCTTTCTTTCTCTATAAAAAAATAAAAATAATAAATAAATAAATAAATAAAGGTATTTTATGTTCTTCTGTACCATTTCTGCTGACCTCAGCCCAGTGCGAGTTAGCTCAAAGGTGACCCTGGGCCCCATCTAGTCTAATGGGGTTTTCCCTTAAGGTGAGTCTTTGTCTTGTAATAAAGATGATATGAGGGAAGATATACATCTACATAAAAGGCACCACGGCTTTAATGCAGGGGATCCAGGCACTGTTACTTTGAGATAAAACCATCATGTTTCCTTATGCTAAAATCTCACTACTGAGATGTCACGCTGATCCTGTTGTCTTGACTGTTTTAAAGAAAACCATGGTACAGATTGTAAAAGGGTAGAAAAGCATAATTGATTCCGATTTAATTATATGGGAGGTTAAAAGGAATGCTATATTAGGAAGAGAATATAATACAATATTTTTGATAAATATAGGAACTGTCATTTATAGTACAGGACTCTGATGTATATAAATCTTGATAAAAGACTCTTAAAGTCATGATTTAAACATGCTTGTTTCCATTTTCTTTTTCTTTCTTTTTTTTTTTTTGCATAAAATCAAAAGATGATACCAGTCCCCCAAAAGACAAAGGCACATGGAGAAAAGGCATTCCAAGTATTATGAGAAAGACATTTGAAAAAAAGCCCACTGCTACTGGAACATTTGGTGTCAGATTGGATGACTGCCCACCAGCGCATACCAATCGGGTAGGAGACCCCAGCCGCCCGTACTTCCTACGGTCATTAGTTCAGGTGTAGGTCTCATAGGACCTGAGTACACAGCCCCTCAGATGACAGAGTATCTGTTAATCTGATGAGTATCTTCCTCTTCATAGCAGACCCAACTTCCCTAAGCATTGCTGGCGCATAAGGCCGTGTTGAGTAATTTCATCTATAATGCTCTTTTTCTAACATATTGACTCTAAGAAAGAGTAATGATTCGTCCATTAGGAATGTATCTGAAATGGTAAGAGTTCATTTTCAAATCCTGTGTGTTTCTGCTTCTAGCACCTTAAAAGAAGGATGAGAACAAGAACCTGATTAAGAAAGTATAACACATGTAAATGTGCGAGTGTGCACGCACGTGTCTGTGTGCGCATGTGCGTGTGTATGGCATCTGTGTGAGGATTCGTGTCATGAGTCGCTTGATGTTATTCTCTCCCCCCTTCTCCTTTGGATTTTACTCGCCTTTATTCACGGGTGCTGCTCCCACATTCTCTTCACTTCAGACTTGCCTCATTTCCTCTTTGATGTTCATCTCCCTGTCTTGACCTATTTGTTCTCCTCCCACTGTCCCAGATCTCTCTTGCTGCTTCTGCTCTATTCCCGGTTCTGTAATCAATGTCTCTGTTCTGCATTTTCTATCACATAGCAGAGATGTATGTATTTTGTCTCAGATGGAAAGGGCCTCTTAGCTACGATATGTATCTACTAACAAATAGAAACATTTGTGCTGTATTAAATAAAATACTTATTTCTTGTTTTGCAGTATATTCCATTAATAGTTGACATATGTTGCAAATTAGTTGAAGAAAGAGGTCTTGAGTATACAGGTATTTATAGAGTCCCTGGAAATAACGCAGCCATTTCAAGTATGCAAGAAGAACTCAACAAGGGGATGGCTGACATTGACATACAAGATGATGTAAGTGTGTTTATTTCTGTCTGAATACCTGATCTGTGGGTTTTTTCCCCCTTTGATGGTATTGACTACAAAAACGCCATGTTTCTATTTTACCCACCTAGAAATGGCGAGATTTGAATGTGATAAGCAGTTTATTAAAATCCTTCTTCAGAAAACTCCCTGAGCCTCTCTTCACAAATGGTGAGTGAACTCCCACAAAAGATACCAGTTGAAACAGTTTAAAATTACATTGTTGGAAAGCCAAAGAATATTGATATTTTGTCAAAGGAAGCAGGAAATTTTGTTCAGTTGTTACTTCTCTGTAAAGCGTAATTATGGCTATTTTTTGTCACTCAGATTTTTTTTCTTATGGATAAATATCAGCGAAAAATGAGAATTTATAATGTTATTTAGGTTCAGTAAAATATAAGTTATCCTGTTTATCCATATTTGCTTGCCAAGTTAAAAATATATTATTATTCACTGTCAAAAGTCTTCAGACACAATAAAGTACAATTAGTAGAAAAACGTTTTTTCAGTCAAGCCAAATATTTAACTTATATAAGACACTGTTCTTGATGTTGTGGTTGGGGGATAAAAGAGAGTGGAGACTATAAATACAGGACAGTACTCTCAGAGAACTCACATTTTAGGGAATTTTATTTGATGATAAGGCTTGGAGGGTCATTAAAAATGATAGCTGTTTTGGAGACTTACATTTCAAAGGCCATTTGGGGTCATCCCTACATTTAAGTTTTTGTATTGGGTTTTGAAGCCAAACCTTAAAAGAAATCTCGATCACAACTCACCTAAGCAATTTGAGATAAACTTGTTTTATTCTTCTTATTGTTGTTGTCAGATAAATATGCTGATTTTATTGAGGCCAATCGTAAAGAAGATCCTCTAGACCGTCTGAAAACGTTAAAAAGACTAGTAGGTATTATTTTATATTTTTGGAGGGCAACTGAAATTCAGCCTCTAAATCCATCATGAAAATAATATGTTTCAGATTCACGACTTGCCCGAACATCATTATGAAACTCTGAAGTTCCTTTCCGCTCATCTGAAAACAGTGGCAGAAAATTCAGAAAAAAATAAGGTGTGTAAAGTACATATTGAAGAAGCGTGCTTTCGGGGCTTTAGTTGAAAAGATACGCATCATTGCTTCACGTCAATTAAAATCATGGTTATTGAGAGGTCAACAAAACCTCTCAAATACACACTCTTGGCCAGGGAGCCCCTCTAAAGATCACTCTTCAAAGCAAAAGTTCCCAAAATATCAATTGTCACCATTTTGAAAAGACATTTCCTTTTCTATTTATCCAGCAAGAAAAATGGAAGTCAAAAATTTTACTTCCTTTTTCATCTGTGCATTTGCTGTACTTTTGTGCAATGCGACAATCAAGTAGTACGAAACAGCATAGAGGGAAGACTGACAGACACGTTCTTTTTTGTTTTGTTTTGTTCCGTTTTAAGCAGAGAGGACCTTCTTCTTTGTTGTTTGTTTAACAGAATCACATCGCCTTTGTCAAACACACCAAAATGTGTTATCCCTTCATATTATCTACTACTCCGTTCATGTTCAGTTTTTCCAGATTGGTTTCAAGAAATGTCTTTTCACCCCTGTTTGTTTAAATCAGTATCTAAAGGTTCACACAGTGTGTTCAGTTGGTATGTTATAATCTTAACTTTATATCATTTTATTCCATCCTTCATGGTTGTTGCCTAAACCAGTGATATCTTTAGAGGTTGCAAAACAATGATTTTCTGAATCTTGGGTATTACTTAAAAATATAAAAACAAAGTCATCTTGGCTTGTGGAGAAGAGAAAAAACAGAATACCACAAGCTCAGGAACACTGCTGTCACCTTTTCCCAAAAGGTCCTGCCTGCTGAAGGTCGAGCAAAATGCATTCATTCAGGTCAGTTTAGCATCTGTCATGTTCCAGAAGACAGTTGCTCACAGTTGTAGTAAGGCTGGGGTTTGAGAACAGGATCAAACCCTGTTACCTGTGGGACGTTTACAAGCCGTGTTATAATATTCCTTAGGTTCTCAATTTCCTCAACAGTGATAGGACATAAAAGGAAAAAGGAACAAAAGAGAATGAGAGAAAGAAAGAAAGAACCAGTATCAATTAATGGTACAGTTTCTAGAAGTTCATCCAGAAAATTCTCAGTATAATTGTAGCTGAAATATTTTCTAATTATTTCAGCATTTCCCAAAGTGCATTACATCATTCATCACTTTTGCTGGTTGTCAACAGTGCAGGGGACATAGCATCTGATGGTCTCATTAGTTTAGAAAGCACCGAATTAAGCAAAATGTAACAGTTATGTAATGTTACATAAACAATGTAATGTAATTTTTATGAACAAAAATTCTTTACTGTGGAATTTATTCTGGCTTTACTGTATTAACTAATACTGTGACTACACGTGTAGGACGTCTTTCCAGAAATACAGAATTTGCCTTAGGTAATTAATGACTAAATAAGTGATGAACTACTTATGTTACCAGCTTTAGGTAAGAGCCAGCTAAAACTATATACCCACATAGTAAATACGACTGTATACACATAGATAATAATGTGTGCAATGATTAGTCTACAAAAACTGAAACGAAATCATAGTAGACAAGAACCCAGTAAAAATTTTGCAGAAGACCTTGGAGATGGACTTGATTTTCTGAGCCACTTTTACCAGTGCAGATTTGGGAATAAGAATGCATCCTCCAGCAGGAGAATAAGAAACATGCCTGTGTGCTCAGTTCAAGTCAGCCCTTCCTGCAGTCAGATTTTCTTTCCACTAGGTCAACTTGCTCTGAAAATACTGACTTTGATCACAATTTCTCCTGATATCTCTGTCGTGAGCAGAGTGTAATGATGCATGTGTTATGGTAGATGACATATTTGATGCTGAACAGTTGCTTCGGAACAGGAGATCTGTGCATTTTCTGCTTTCCACCATACCGGAAATGTGTTTGTGTACACGTGTGGGCATGTGCGCGGCTCTCCCAAAATGGGATAGTAGTGTGCTTCCCTAAACCAGTTTGACTTTTTGAGTTCTGCAGTGATTTATTTTATTTATCTATTTATTTATTTACTTATTTACTTATTCATTCATTCATTCATTCATTCATTTACCCCCCTGGTAAGTTTTCAGGGTTGGTTAAAGCTATTTGACATTTTAATCAAATCCTGACTTCAAAATATTACACCAGACGCTATAGGATACAACAAAGGAAAACAAAAGATCTATACCTTTGATAATTGTGTAATTAAACAAGGAATACAAAATACCATGGAAATGAATGTCCAAACATAGAAGCATGTTATATTGAGGTGTTCAGGTTGACACAAGGATAAGCAAAGAGCTTTGGAAGTTTTTGTTGAAGTAAAAATTGGTCAAAAAAGAATATTTCTGGACGTTGGGTTTTTAAGTGTTAGCACTTTTGATGTACCATGGGGGCAAGTTTGAAAAAGGTAATATGTCTTTGAACATTTTTTTCTAGTTGTTTTTTGGGTTGTTGTTTTTTTTGTTGTTTTGTTTCTTTTAGTTTTTGAGGGGAAGAGGGTTGCCCTATTGTTCGTAAGGTTTTTTTCCCTTTGATTTTAATATTTTTGTCAGTTAATGCAGCTCTGGTAATACTAGTTTTGAAGCAGATCAATTGCTTGCAATCAAAGACTTCATGAAAAAAATGAATGCCAGTTAAGCACAGTACATTGTCATTAAAGCAGGAAAAAGACGTTAAGTGTAGATTAGCTTATAGAAAGCCTAACTAGGAAGCATTAGTTTTTTTATACACAATCAGTCTAACCGTTCTTCTTTGAGTTCTTTTTCATCAAAAGAACCTTTCAGAAATAAAATGCCAAACACACAATGGGAATTTAAGCCTACTTTCTTAAGAAAAATTCTGATATCTTTCAATAACATCCTTTGTTCCAGATGGAACCAAGAAACCTAGCGATAGTTTTTGGTCCAACTCTTGTGAGAACATCCGAAGACAACATGACCCACATGGTCACTCACATGCCAGACCAGTACAAGATCGTAGAAACACTCATCCAGCACGTAAGTTCAGGCTTCATCTTATCAAAAAAATAATTTTCATGTGAGCAGCTGGTGTTTGGTAGGGCAGAATTTGCTTGTAATTTTTGTTTTCTAGGAAAGCTCCTCCCCCCAGTATTATCCTCCAAAATATAGATATATTATGGGGGTCCCTTAGTTTCTCTTTTCACCTTTTTTTATTTTAAATTTTAGCATGACTGGTTTTTCACAGAAGAAGGTGTGGAAGAACCTCTTGTAAGTATCGTCCGTCAGCCTTCGTACTGACTTTTTTCATTCGGGACACAAGCTCCTGACCCAACAGCGTCAACTTCCTGCTTTGTATGCTATTGTCCGCTTTGCGCCCCGGAAGCAGGTCTATAGCTCCTCAGTTTCCGGTCAAGTGAAAATACAAGTATGATGCTTATTTCGTAGTTCATTAATGACATGTAAACGATGTAAAAAGTTAAGCACGTGTGCTCCACTCAGTAAATGTGTCTTTTACTAAATGTTGTTTGAATTTTAAAGAAATTATCTTTGAAGAGATGATGAAGAGATCTTTGTTTATTAACCATAGACAACAGTGCAGGAGGAAAACACAGTAGACTCCCAGCCAGTGCCCAACATAGATCATTTACTCACCAACATTGGAAGGACAGGAGTCTCCCCGGGAGATGTATCAGGTAACTCTTGCCTGGGCAGTACCGATCTGGTTAAGGTTAAGCTAAATCCTCGTAACATGAAAGAACAAAATCAATCATAAGTAACAATTCACTATGATTTTTTTTCTTTTCTTCTCCTTTCCCCCCCCCTTTCTACTAATAAAAAACTGAATCTTCCTTTTCTGATTGATCTCAATTATCTTCCAGTGACTCTAATGCCATTGGCAGTGCATGGGATTGTAATGCTTGTCAGAGTGGAAATCTGAGGGAAATGAGCATGCAAACCACTGTTTTGTTCTTTTTTTTTAATTCACAGTTTCCATGTAATAGTCATCACAAGGTAAAACAGATATATGCTGCTGAATATGTGGTTGCTGTGATGGCAGAAAGTGTGATCGAGACTGTACGAGTAGTTCTTATTCTTGAGCTAGACGTTCTGTTTAAAAGCAGCAAGTGAACAATGTCGAACTGCTAATGGGCGCCATTTTCATAAATACAGCATATTATTTGTCGCTGCAGATGTCACAGTAGAAGTCGAACTGATTTGACATTTTCTTCTGTTCTCTCTTGCCGCGCTCATGTGTGGTTAAGTAGCGGTTTTCATAGGCTCTTTTGCGGACGGTTTTCTCCCGCCGAACTGTTGCACTATATCTAGCATGTTATTTTACACGCTGTTCTCCCTTTGTCTCTAGTTCTTGTTTGAGTCCTAAAGGGTTTTTTCAGCACTTACTGACACAGGCATATCTATACTGATGTTGCACAGGCGAAGTGGGAGGAGTCTATCACACGGTAATGTCGCTAGTGGATTCTGTGGTGGCCCTGCTGGACAGCTGGAGCTGTAGGAAGAAGGAGGACTGCTGTCCACACTGTAGCTGCCTTGTCTGCAGAAACCCCCGATTCTTGTAAATGCAAACACGGTTGATCTGTGGTGTAAATTTTCTCGTAAAGATTATTGTAAACAGATCAATACTACTTTCTTAAAAGTTTTTCTGCTGTTTCTTGTTATTTCTGAAGCAGACCGAGAGGAGAAATAGCATGGTATGGTCTACCAGTTCTTAAAGTCATAAAGCATTTAGCCATGTGTTCAAAGGGGCGTGGCATGGGGCTCAGCTCATTAACCTTGAAAATCAATTTCCCTCAACTTGAAAGACAAAATTTCCCAATTGGTCTTCTCCCGACTAGTGCTAGCCCCTTCCTACCCTCTTTATACTTGTATAATCTGAGTTTTTGCCAGACAGTGAAAATTATGGTCTCCATTTTTCCATTTCCATAATAGCATTTGTGATAGGTAACTCTGAAACTGGTAGCAATTTAACCAAACTAGTCACAAGGATCCCTGACTGCACAGATGTGAAACTGGGGTCTGAAGCCCAAAGATCAGCATTATTGAAAAACCAAAGTGACCTGGAAGCAGGGTTTCCTAATGCATCCAGATGCATGCAAATATATGCTTACAAAATATTTGACAGTTTGACAGTCTGACAAAAATCAACGTAAACGCACCGAGTATGAGTGTCTCGATTTGTGGCTAGGACAGCCAACCATCTTGAAAGTTCTACATTGTGTATCAGTTTCACATACAGGATGTGGCACATAGTACAGTTCTTAAAAAGGTCTTCCAGCTTCTTTACTGCTAGATTTAATATTTAGAAATCTTGATAAACACTAGTGTTTCTGTTTTTGTTTAGTACAGGGCTCCTTTGCCATTCCTCTCATTGAGCTGATTCTGCCTACAATTCACAGCATCCTTTCATGGCGGTGGCTTTCTGTGGTGCAGCTTGCATCTTTGTGAGCTCTGACTATCCACTGTGTTCTCTTGTTCTGTTTGAGTTTTGCTTTCTCATTTCGTTCTGTGCCTGTCTTTTCCATAAGTTTTGCATTGTTTGTTGAAAGCAGCAAAGATTGACTGATACTGACCATGTTTTGTTTAACTTCTCACAGATTCAGCTACTAGTGACTCAACAAAATCTAAGGTAAATGGTTCCATACAATTCTGAGCTACCTGGCAGTGGGGGAGTTTCCTTCTGGCTGATTGTTAGGACTAGGCTACAAGCGCATCCCTCTCTGTGTCAGATGACACAGACCGACAGAGTCTTTGAGAGGGAAAAATGAGTTCGTAGACTGTGGTAGAACAAGGGATTGTGCGTCGGAATGTTGGGTTTCTCTCGGCATAGTTTAGCCTAATACAGAGGAGTAGACCCCTGTTTCTTAAATTCTTAAATCTGAACATTTTCTAACGTACACAAAAGCAGAGACGATGGTATAATGAGTCCCCATGCAATCATTATCCATTCTCAACAGTTAACATGTAGGTGGCCATCTGGTTCCATGTACATTGCACTCCCACTTCCCTCCCCCTAGACTACCTTGAAGCTAAGCCCAAGCATAACGTTTCACCTGTAAATATTTCAGTAGTAATACAGTTTTTGTTATCATTACACATTCTTATGAAAAAATATATTCTTGCTTGCCTTTCAGAAAAATCAGTATTTTTACATAATTTGTATTCTGTTGACACCACCAATTACAAATTTTGAGTAGCTCTGGGAAGTTCTTAGTCTTAGAAGGGTTTTTATTAATCCAGTTTATCCAAACTTTGATCTGCTGAGACAGTAGCAGCTAGAATTGTCAATAGATTTCTTACAACGTCGTTCTATTTGGAAGTGAGACATATATATCATGTTTAAATACCATAGTGAAGTTGTCTGTGATTAAATTATAATTCTTGCAGGAGATTTTACAAAGTGTTCCAGTCATATCATTCATTATCACTCACCCTGTATTTTTTACTGGGTTTTTGCCCCAACTTTTTATTTTGAAAAGCTTTAAACCTAGAGAAAAGTTAAAAGGATAATAGCACCCAAACCTTTTGCCTTAGATTGTTAATTTGGTCCATTTTGATATATATCATTTGGGGGGGGTGACTATTTGAGAATTACAGACATGAAAACACTTTACCCTAAATGCTTCAGTGTGCACATTCTGAGAACGGGGTGTTCTCCTCTATAATCACAGGGTAATTCTCATACCCAGGTAATTAACATGAGTATACAACATTATTATTTCTAATGGAGTCTTTACACAAATTTCTCCAATTGTCCCAAGTCCCAATAATGTAAATGTAGATTGTTTTTTATTTTCCTGTACAGGATGAAATTAAGGATCATCCCCTGCATTTTATTGTCTTTTTTTTTTTTTTTTTTAGGGATGCTTTTAATTTGGGACTGTTTCCTTTTTTTTTTTCCCCAAAGATAAGATTCCAGATTTAGATTTAGATTTGGATTGAGATTTGAGACCTGTTTGAAATTTCCTCCTTCCCTCTTATTAGATGTGTATTTCTTAACATGTCTTAGTTTCTCTTTTTAGCGGAAGCTGTTAAAATGTGGATAACCAACTAAGCAGTGTACTGGATAATCGGGGAATCCTTTCTTACTTGTAGAAACAAAGTTCTGTTAATCTGCAGTTTCATTCTGGTGAATCCTTTTTAGTACAGCAGCCTAAGTTTTTACTTTTTCAAGACTTCAGTATAGTAGTTTTAGTTTGTCTGGGATGTTTACGACCATAGAGAAGTCAACTCTCTGCTTCTCTTACTCAGCGTACTCCCTGCCTTCCTGCTCGTCTTACATGGTCTCTGGTTAACCAGCAAGTGTTACTGACTCCCCCTACCATTCACTTAGCCAGTAGGCCTCCCGAGCAAACTGATGAAATAGTCGTCATCAAGGGCCTATAACGCGCAGCTACCGAAGCCAGTAGCCTGCACTACAACTTTATCAGGGATAGTGCTTCCATGGTAAGGATTTAAGATCCTCAGTTGACCTTACGTTCTTTGAATTTTCTGATTTTGTTGTTACCTTGAGATAAATGAGACATTACCAGCCTGATTTGCCCAAGGCAAGTCTGAAGATCGAGTCTGGCTGAACTGATGGAAGACCAGAGAGTTCCCTTAGTGAGTTTACCCCATACAGTGTGTGTCATACGGTGTCTGTAATTAGGAAGGGGAAGTCAGTCATAGAGTTGTAGTAACCTGTGTCAGGACATTGTACTCAGCTGTGCCAGGATATTAACTATTCAACCTGTGTTCCAGATTAAGGAAGCTGAAGAATGTGGGGCCCGCAGGAGCAGGGGAAGTCAAGAGATGCAGGGAAGTGAACGAGAATAGGAGCGCTAGACAGCTCTAAGCACAAAACACGTCTCTGAAAGGTGGATGTGTATGGGGCGTGACACAGCCGTAAATACCACCAGTTGTGAAGAAACCGCCCTAGTTGAATAGAAGGAACAATCTACCTCATGAGCAGGTTCCAGGGAGGTATAAAAAAAACTACGTTCTGTCCGTGCTTCCGGAGCTTTAATAGAGTTAATGCAGTAAGAAACGTTTGGGGGGAACTTTTTCAGAAAGGAACTCAGCGGTGTGCCTGTGTTCACAGTCTCATTTCTCTGATTTCTCGCAGGGTTCTTGGGGATCTGGCAAAGATCAGTATAGCAGGGAGCTGCTGGTGTCCTCCATCTTCGCAGCCGCCAGTCGCAAGAGGAAAAAGCCCAAAGAAAAGGCCCAACCCAGCAGCTCAGAAGACGAACTGGACAATGTATTTTTTAAGAAAGATAACACAGAACAGAGTCACAATGACATTAAAGAAGAATCCAAAAAAGAGAGTGAGACATTGTGCAGAAAACAAAGGATCGCCATTTCCAAAGAAAACACGGCTAAGAAGGACCCCGGGGCCCCAAAAGACGAAAAGACGCCGCCCCGAAAGCAGAGCGCCGCGTCGGAGGAGCCCTCCCCGCCGCACAGCGCCAAACCCCCGAAGTCGCCGGCGCCGAGCTGCCGCTTCCCGGGGCCGAGAGAGAGCCCCCGGCCGCCCGGCGCCCCCAGGTCCTGCCACTTGGAAGAGCCGGGCTCGGACTCCGGCTCGCAGGCGTCCCCGGCCGGGCTCTCCGCGGGGAAGTGCGGCAGCCCGGGCGCGAGGCACCGCGGCTTTCTGGCCGCCCCGGGCGCCCTCGCGTCGGACTGCCCCGGCGCGCACCCCGCCGGCCTGGACGGCAGCCGGCTCAGCCCCGACGTGCGCGCGGTGGCCGAAAGCCGGGGCGACGAGGCGGACGACGAGCGCAGCGAGCGCGTGAGCGAGGGCCGCCCGGTGGAGACGGACAGCGAGACGGACTTCCCCGTGTTCCCGGGCGCGCTGGCGTCCGAGCGGCTGCTGCGGGGTGCGCTGCAGGACGCCGGCAAGGCGGGCCGCCGCAACTCGGAGGGCAGCGAGCTCAGCGGCACCGAGGGGAGCCTGACGCCCAGCCTGGACAGCCGGAGGCCGCTCTTCAGCTCCCACAAGCTCATCGAGTGCGACACCCTGTCCAGGAGGAAGTCGGCCCGCTTCAAGTCCGACAGCGGCGGCCTGGGGGACGCCAGGGGCGACCGGGACAGCCCGGCCATCAGCAGAGTGTTCGACGTCATGAAGAAAGGCAAGTCCACGGGGAGCCTGCTGCCGCCCACCAGGAGCGAGTCGGAGAAGCAGGAGCCCACCTGGAAGACGAAAATCGCGGACCGGTTAAAACTCAGGCCCCGGGCGCCGGCCGACGACATGTTCGGCGTAGGAAGCCAGAAAGCCGGCGCCGAGGCCGCCAAGCGCAAGAACATCAAGCGGCGGCACACGCTCGGGGGCCACCGCGACGCGGCCGAGCTCAGCGTGCTCAGCTTCTGGAAGGCGCACGAGCAGGCGGCGGACAGGGACGCCGAGCTCTCCGCCGTCCACCGGCTGAAGCCCAAGTGCTCCGCCCAGGACCTGTCCATCTCCGACTGGCTGGCCCGGGAGCGCCTGCGCACCAGCGCCTCCGACCTCAGCGGGGCGGACGCGGGGGACCCGGCGCCCGACGGCGGTGCCCGCGTGGTCGACGGGGCCGCGCCCGACGCGCCTCCGAGTTCGCAGCCCGCCGCGGGCGCTTCTCCGGGTCCCTCGGCTCCGGCCCCCAGGCCCCTTCTTTCCAGGCCGCCACGGTCACCCGACCAGATCAACGGAGAAAGCGTCCAGAACATGAGCCAAAATGCTAGTTCGGCAGCATTATAATGCCCAGCCTCAGAAACTGGCCGAAACCCCAGGCAGTGGAGCACAGTCTCGTCCCTGTCTTTGATCTGGGGCATGTCCACTATAGCAACTGAAAAGCTACTGTTACACGTTCCAGTAACTCTGTAAATATTTTCTTGTACCAGAATTGTTATTATGCAGCCTTCATTTGGGCTGGTTTCAGCATTTTGCACTGTGGAATAACTTTACAGTGCATTACTACAGCCAGAAGAACATATGTGTGTGTGTGTGTGTGTGTGTGTGTGTGTGTGTGTGTGTGTGTGTGTGTGTGTGTACATGCATATATATATTTTACAAATGTTGGACAGTTGTATACAAATGAGCAAGGTATTTGTTGCAACTTACTACACAGTGTATACCCGAGATTACTGAAGCAAACAGCTGGCATTTGTGTGCAGCAAATTTGTTCTTTTGGTTTCATCACTAACAAAAGTGCCTCATCATAAAAATCCATTTGGTTATTAGGGTGCCATATTGTTAAAATTAGATAACTTACGTTGAATAAATAAATGCATTTTATTGGTAACAAATTTCATGACATTTACCAGTTTTAACACAGGTGGATACAGAACTAGCATTCTCTCGTCATTCCAGGTGGATCTCTGAGTTTTATATTCAAACTTTTAATACAGTTTTTGAGTTTTGTGTGACTTGAATTTTTAATCTTTCTGTAAAATACGTAACTTAAATGAACATATTATATGTGTATCTTTTCTTCAGATACCAGATTTGATATAAATGTTGTAACATAGATGTGTAGATAGTGACCTGGATGGAACTGGCTTCTTTATCGAGAAGAATATAATTCTGCATGAGGACTTTAATGAATCCAAACCTGTGTCATGCCTGTGTGCATACCCAATTAAACACTGGAAATAAAAATTGTTTTGGTGAACTTGGCATGTCTTGAAACTCACTATGGTGTATTTTTAAATGTTACCCATTTATAACTGCCTTAATTGGTCCTGATTTTAAAAATATATATATTACCTACTCCAGGGGCACCTGGGTGGCTCAGTGTGTCAAGCATCAGACTCTTGATCTTGGCTCTAGTCTTGACCTCTTGGTTGTGAGTTTGAGCCCGGAGCTGGGCTCCAGGATGGGCGTGGAACCTACTTAAAAAAAAAAAAAAAATTACCTACTCTCTTTCTTTAGTCTACTTCTTTTTTTTTTTTTTTTTTTTTTTTTTGCTGTGGCTGGGTAGGGATCTCTTACAAATGTTTACACTGGCCTAACCTCACTTCTGTACACAAATAATATTTAACTTTTCTAGCTAAAGTAATATGTGTTGTTTACTTTTTGTCGGTGATAATGAGTGAAAAGAACATGCATTTGGGAATCAGACCAACTCTACACTTCCCAGATACGTAAACCTGGACAAATTATTTAACTTCTCTGAATTTATTCCTTCATATAAAAATGATAATAGTATCTATTGTAAGGGTTATTGGATTTAAATGAGATACAGTGTCTGCCACACTTGACTTGCAAAATATGTCAAACCTATTCTAAAAAACTAACGGGTACTTAAAAATCTCAGAAGGGTAAGACTGGAAGGGCCTTAAAAATCATCAAATCTAGTGGTTTTCAACCCTGCCAGACCCAATATTCTCATTCTGTAAAGAATAGTTTTTAATTTCTCCTTTACTATTCTGAAGTGAAATTCACATGTAATCTACCTGTATAACAAATCTACATATATAGTTTTACTTTTATTCAATATAGTATGGGATGTCCCTGATTTTCTTATTATTATAGAAAAGAAAAGGAAAGTGATTTATACTAAAGGAATAAACATTTCAGTATGTGAAGCAGTCAGATTTTTGCACCAATATACAGTCACTAACAGTGTAGTAACTTCATGTCTCATGAATAATTTTGCTATCGATGATGCGATTTTCTTAAATGATGGTAAAGTTCTGAACAAAATAAAAATACACTCTTTCCAAGTTTGCATAATAGGTGCATTACTGGAAAAAATACGTATTTTTAAGATCATCAAAAATACTTTTTATATGTAAAAAAGAAGTTAGGCTCAAGGCTCAAATAATTATATTTTATTCATTTCTGCTCTTATATTTATTAGCTTCAATTTTCTTTGGAACCTCAGACATATCCTAGCTCATTGATTTCCAGGTTTTTGTTTGTTTTTTGATATTTGCTTTTTAAAAGACTATTTGTTTTATTTTCATTTATTTCAGAACATTTTCTAACTTCTGTTGTGATTTTTTTTTAACCTGTGTGTTATTTATATGTATATTGCTTAATGTCTAAACATTTGGAAGCTTTCTACTTTATCTTTAAAAAAATTATTTCTAGTATAATTCACATGATTATTAAACATACTCTGGTAGTTTTAAGCTGTTTGAAACTAATGGAGACATCCATTATGTAAACCAGCATATGGCCAATTTTTATTCAATGTTCCATGCCCATATACTTGATGTTCCATGTCATATACTTGAAAAGAATATGTACTCTGAGACTGGCTGCTTTATCATGTTGACTGGGTCAGGTTTCTTAATCGTGTTTTTTAGATCTTTTATATCCTTATGGATTTTTTACTCGGCTCTCAGCATTTCCTGAGAGGTGATAAAGCCTTATGTTACAATTACAGAGTTATATGTCCCTTATTCGTCAATTTTTCCCTTATACATTTTGGAGCTAGTTTACTAGGTGGACATAAATTTAGAATTATTTTATCTTCATGGTGAATTGACCCTTTTCTCATTATGCAATGCCCTTCATTATCTCTACCGAAACTGCTTGTGTTAAAGTTTAATTTTATATGAAATTGTTGTGACTGTACCAGTTACTTTTGGTTAGTGTTTGCCCAGTAAATCTCTCTCATCCTTTTGCTTTCAACCCTTTTGTGTTTATATTCAGTTTTTCTCTCTTACAGCAGCATATAGTTTTTTTTTAAGTGTAGTCTGATGATCTTTGTCTTTTAACTGAAATATGTAATCCAGTTACTTTTAATGAAATTCCTGATGTGTTTCGATTCGTAGCTGCGTCTTACTGTTTGTTTTCTACTTGTCTCACGAGTTTTATGTGCCCTTTTATCTTGTTTCTTGCCTCTTTTGAATTAATCAAATATTTTTATTATACCCTTTTCCTCTTCTATTAGCAGGTTACTTATTTATTCTTTTACTATTCTTTTAGAGACGTTTTTCACCTAATAGAACCTAATTTAAATTAAACATTTACTGCTTTCCACATACCGCTTATTATAGATATCCCCATACCTTGTAAGACATTATTACTTCATACGCTTGAATATTCATCTGCGTTTACCAACAATGACCATTTTTTTCCCCAACAATAACCATTTTTACCGCTCTTCATTCTTTGCTGTATTTCCATGTTTTTATCTGCCGTCTTTCTCGTCCTTCCTGAAGAGCTCTAATTATTATCCGGATCTGCTAGTGTTGTTTCTCTGCTTAAGTGTGTTTGGAAATGTCTTTATTTTGCATCCTTTTTCCAAAGGATGTGCTTACTGCCTAGAGAGTGCTGGAATTTTCTTTCAGCGCTTTAAAGATGTTCTGTTTTTGTCTGGTTTCTATCGTTACCGATTGTTACTGTTGAGAAGGGAGCTGTAAGTCTTCCTGGTGCTTCAAAGGTAATTGTCTGGGTCGCCCTGCATTTGCAGGTGGGCGGAGCTGATAAGGCAGGCTTGTAGTCTCCGTGAGACTGGGTAAATCTGGCTCTGTCCCTCTCCTAAGGTGTCACTTTTCAGGTATCTCAGTGTTCAGGGGTTTGCTGTGGCCCCTCCTCCTGGGCATATCCTGACCCCCACTGTGTCGCTTGTCACCTCGGCCTCTGAGACTGTACCAGATACACCAATCTGTTTCCTAACTGGCCTTCCGCCCTGAATGGTTGAAGTACTGGCAGATGCTTTAAAAGTAAAACCACCAAGTATGGGGTTCTCCCCTCTAGGATTCACTTTGCTCGGGGATTTTGTTTCCCCAAGTCTTAGCCCAGACTCAGCATCCCACACCCCTGGGCATCTTTTTACTTAATTACTTTGCCACTCCCAGCCCAGCCCAGGGAAATGGAGGAAAGCCAGCTTCTGAGTAGCCCCAAGCCTGTCCCCCCAAGCCTGGCTTTCATTTTCGCTCCATGCCTTAACTGCCTGGCAGCTCTCCAGTTCGTTTGCTTATGGACTGGCAGAATGGCTGGTGGTTATTTTCTCCAGCTTTTCTCATGGTTCTCAATACGGGTCTCCGTCAGCTATGAGCTATTCCACTGTGGTTGGAAACAGATGTTTCCGGAACTCAAATCATTATACGTCGGTTCTTCATCTACACAGTGTCAGAATGATAAAACCCGTGTGAGATACGAGCTACCCCTTTATCGTGTGGGAATTCGACCCTTGTCTTACTGGATGAAGCTTTGTTTCTTCTAACAATAGAGGAGGATGTAGTGATACGCTGAAAGTATTTTCTGAAAACTCTTAGAAACAGTGGATTCTCTAAGAGCACCCAGATCACCAGGTAGCCCCGCTCAGGTCATCTGATTTTCAGCAGTGCGTGAAATATACATAACCGTAATTATGACACAGTGTTGTGTTTTTAATTTACCTAAAGCAGCATAGTATCTAGCTTGCTTTTTTTCACTTCATGTGTTTTTGAGATCTGTCTTTATTGGACCATGTAGCTCTATTCTGTTTTCCCTTTTTCCTTGCAGTGGGCATGGTGTTTGCTTTCTTAGTACTCGCCTCTTTGCGTCTTTTTTTTTTTTTTAAAGATTTTATTTATTTATTTGACAGATCACAAGTAGGCAGAGATGCAGGCAGAGAGAGCGCGAGAGGAGGAAGCAGGCTCTGTGCTGAGCGGAGAGCCGGATGCGGGACTTGATCCCAGGACCCTGGGATCATGACCTGAGCCAAAGGCAGAGGCTTTAACCCACTGAGCCACCCAGGCGCCCCGAGTCTTGAAGGCGCTGATGGCTACTATGCCCCATTCCAACTTGACTGTCCCATTAACCTCCAAGTTGACCCCGTCAGCAGCATATGAGTTCTCTCATTTTTTCACATCCTCGTGGATGCTAGATATTTGGGGGGTTTTAAATGTGTTGTTTTGGAAATGGACACGTGTGAGGTGATGTCTGACTGTTGTGCCTTTTCTACATTACTCGTCAAGAAGGTGTTTCTGTCGTTGGCTTTTTCTCAGAGATCTTTATATAATCTGGATATGAATTCTCTACCTGTTGGGTAGATTTCAAGTATCTTC